TGGCCGTTAGGGCTAGCGTATGGCAATGGTGGACACAGGGTGTCAACCTCGTGGGTTCTCCTTATAGCTCAGGCACAACCCAGTGTGGCTATTTACTGGCTCAATTATCTGCAGCAGAAACTCCAGGAGGCTTGGAAGGGGAGGTGAGATACAGGACTTGATGTGCAGGTCTGTCCTATCACTAATTATTGAGGGGGAAAAAATGATCGGTTTCTCAATGGAGAAAAACTGTAGAATTAGTGTCTGTAGTGTCATTGATAATTAAATGATTGGAGCTTTGAATCACTCAGGTGTGAGATTTTTTACTCCAGATACAATTCCATGGTCAGAAAAGCAGCCAGCATCCTATTTAAGCATGTAAAACTCAAAACCTGTCCGTTGCAAAATGCTCCAGTTGCATTCCCTAGTGCTCTCACAAGCAGTGGATGGAGCGAGAGCTGGCTCTGGCTTTTCCATGGAGCAGCTTAGTAAATCTGTTCCTACAAGGCAGCAGCGAGATGGAACTCTAACAGATGGGAAGTCTTAAATTCCTGGCATGAAGGAGTGGTTCAAAGTTGCAACACTGCAGACCGAGCTGTGCTTTAACTCCCAGGCGTTGTTCTTGTATGTATCTAGACAGATTTGTGAGTGGGATCATACAATCACCACGGTTGGGAAAGACCTCCAAGATCATCCAGTCCAACCATCCACCTACCACCAGTACTTCCCCACTAAACCACATCCTCAGTACGACATGTAAGACACATGTGTTTAGGATGTATGCGCAGGATCATTCAGCTAGAGAAATGCTTTCTGCCTGGATAATTCTGCAGGCACTTGCACTCTGCAGGGGTGGGATAACTTATGCTGTTTAAGCAGAAATCCAGGCTTTGAAAACAGTGTGTTACTCAAAACTTCCTTTATAAAAAGACCACATTTTGGGGTAGTGGGATCAGACCAAGGTGTGTAAATAATTCTTTTTAGAGGATCCCAAGGAGGACTCAAGGACTATAAAAGCATTGACTATGTTTGAAACTATGTGTCTTTAGCAAATAGTTCTTCCTTTAGGAGTATGCACTGTGCTGGGGCAATGGTGGCCATTCACTGCTCCTGCTGCATCTTCTTCCAGGAAACACTGTGATGCTAATGGACAAAAGCAGATGAAGCACCTATTGCAGGTGGACTAGAAGTTGCCCAGGCAGTACTACAAAGTCCTTGCATGACAGCCTTCAGGACTGATGTCTCCAAAACAAGGTCAGGTTAGGTGACTGCCCTGGGATGACCCACAGCAAAGTGTTTTTACTTTTAAGGTTTGCATTTAGTAAAGCCCTTTTAAAACCTGGCTTAACTTAAGCGAGTGTTTACATCTCACCTCACCAACTTGAGCCTAAGGCATGGGAGTAGAAACACAACCTATAATTTTCCTCTGACTCAAGACATCATGTGCTAGAAGCAGACCAAGGATTCCTGCAGCTTCAGAGTTTCTTTGGAAAAGTTACAGTCACCAATTCAAGTTTGTCTTATTTGATTAAAAAAAGCCAAAATGAATCTAAAAAACAAAACAAAACAAAAAAGAAGTGTTAAGTTTAGCTGAAAAACGTGCTTCATCAGAGAAGTCCCAGCAGCAAGGATCCATTTTTAACACTGAGTGATCTCAGTGTAGGTGTGGTTGGGGCCAGGTTTGCAAAATGTCACTGTGAATTTCTTGTATCGCAGTTCTCTGAAGCTTTTATGGGTGCTTCTTTTTAAGTGTAGCAGTTAGGTGATAAAGCATGGACTTCTACTTTTGAAAGTAACACCTATATTGAGCATTGCTCCCTAATTCATCTGCCTTCTGAAGCTAATGAAAGATTTAACTCTGGAAGCTTTTTAGCTTTTAGCACATGAATTCGCCTACAAATAATTTCAGCAAAACACGTATTTTCCATCTGACCCTGCGTGTCTGTTTCTGTGCCTGACATCTATGTATATTTGATATTATCGGATGCATGTGCATTTTTGTAGCTTTATGCATATACTTGTTAATGGATGGCCATGAAAATAAGTCTGGTTTCATGATAGCGTGCATGACTATTCAGCACAAAAGCACATCTTTGTGTGATCACAATTCGGTGAGGTCTGCCAGCCCCCAGTTCCATCGAGCTTGGTATTTGCATTGCACTAGAGCTGGCCCACCTTTATCACAGAATCATAGAATGGCCTGGGTTGAAAAGGACCACTAGTTTCAACCCCCTGTTATGTGCAGGGTCACCAACCAGCAGACCAGGCTGCCCGGAGCCACATCCAGCCTGGCCTTGAATGAAATTTATATTCATTTTTCCTTTATGTATGCTTGCTTTGGCGTTGCTAGCAATGCTTGTTGCTCTGGAGGCTGCTGGGTGAGTGAGCTATTGTCTTCTGAACAATGGTGCACTGCTGAAGCATGCTGATGATACAGGAGATTGCAGTGTGCCAGCAGACTGCCACTGCAGCCAGGCTCTTTGAGACCCACGAGCCAGTGCTTTGTGGTGATGCTGCTCTGCAAAAACAAACTGACCTCCCCCTGGTGTCATGCAGTGTGTCTGAGTAAGGCCTGAGTAAAGCTGAAGCAATTCCTGAATTCCTGTTTATGGCACAGAGTCCTACACAGGATGTGGAAGAGGTTTTTTGGGGTGAGATGTGTGGAGCCTGCATACATATTGCCTTACTGAGCAAGAGAGTGGGTCTGACGTTTGGGAAAACCGTCCGTTGTCTGTGCTGCATCCGTGGTCTGAGTGCAGGGAAGCTCTGGGTGTGCTCTGCCCTCGTGTGGCCCCAGAGCTATGAGAGGGGCTGCTCTCATTTCTGCTGCAGTGATACCCCACTCTAAATGCTGTGAAGGTCTGTTCACTTCCAGTCCTTTTCAGATGTTGTGCTGGGCATATCCACAACTGGTACCTTGTATTGAGTACTTCCAGCAAGCCATGTTTCAAGCTTCCTTTTGACTTTGCACAGGTATAGGAGAACTTGGATTTCTTGTAGAGTTTGTGAGCTTAGAAAACCATAAGGACTAAAGGGACAAGTTTTTTAAATAGAAATGTCAACTATGTCTTGGAAAAGCAGGCGATCCCTGTGCCTGGTGGGCACTTCTTGCTGGGGCTCAGTTTGAATCTCACAGCACATTAGCTGGGGGCAACAAGAACAGAATGAGATGTGAGCTCTCCTAAAAGCAGCCTGTTCAAGCCAGTTTGCTTATTGCTATTACACTCCATTAAAATGCAATATATGATCTTGACCTAGGCATCAAATGTAAAACCACATTTTAAAATCCAGAATACCTTGTGAGACAAACACAAAGCTTCAGAGCCCTGCTGGCACAGCCTTTGAAGCTGCTGCAAATGTTATGTGAATTGTGGCACTTTAATTAAACTTATTGATCGGTCATCTAGTGAGTGTCAGCATGTTAATGAAGGCAGCCAGCAGCAGTGTGGCTGCAGGAGAAAGCAGGCATTTCCCTTAGCAGAAGGTATAATTGTATTTGGCAGATGGAGCTTTGAGCCCAGCGAACCCAGTGATAAACTGGATTAATTTTCCCTTTAAAGAAAGCAACTAATGTGGCTGAAAAGGAGCTTTCACAGCCATCAATTCATGCAGAGATGTGTGTAGAGGAGGAGAGTTTAATCCTTTGCAAGACTCTTCTTGTCTTCTCTTTCTAGGCGTTTTTGTACATGTGCACATGTGTAGAAGCCTTTGGTACAAGCACTTAACAAGTATTGATTCAATATCAGGAGCCTGGGATGTGACAACCGAGAGGCAAATCTGAGGATGGGAACAGGAGAGAGGAGTATTTTTAGACCAGTGCTAGTCCTGAGGAAACAGAAAAAGCCAACACAGTGTCTCTTTGGATGTCATTTTTGCTGCTTTTTGTGCTTAAAAGTAAAGGCAAGGTTAAAAATCCACTGTTTGAATCCAAGTGCAACCTGTGTAACTGCAGCTGTTGCCAGTAATCTCGCTTTGTAATCATGGCACTGTGCATTCAAATACACATGTGGAGTATCCTACTGCTGCCAGTTTTAATGAGTTTCATGTTAATTGGTCTAAGAACCAGGAGATTTTATGCGCTTCTTTTCATGAGAAAAAGCACATTTGGGTGCTTTCTTCCTGCACAGCAGAATGTAACACCCAAATGCACTCAGGCACAGAACACTAATGGCATTCACACCACAGAAATCCACATGGATTGTCAATTGGAAAATGTTTTGCAGCAGATTTGACGATCCCTGACCTGAACACGGCAATTTTTCTGTTCCTAGTTTCTCTTTGGGCCGCTTTGAATCGGGTTTGAGCTTACCAAAGCCCGCTGATTATCAAAACTGAGAGACGTGCGAAGCTAAGAAGCAGCCCTTGCTTCGGTCTGGTTTGAGCAGGAACGCGAAACAGAAAAAGGTTCCGATTTATCAGCGCGGTGCCGTTCCGGAGCGCCACCTCCTGCCTCTGGATCCGGGGCTCTGGCTGCACTTGGGCCGTTACACTTAGCAACGTGTGAACGACTCGGCTTCCCTCTAGTGGTTCTCCTTAGCAATTTCTTTCTCTTCTCAGGCTATTTTTGACCATTTCTGGGCTGATGCACTCAGGCTGGTACTTCTTTCCCAGTGTTAGGAAAGAGACTCCAAGCATCATCAGGCTGAGATAGGAATAAAGCTACGGGCTGGGAGAGTATTCCAGACTGAAATGCCACTTCTGAAGTAAGGGGATAAAAAGTGAGGGCAAAAACAAGGAGGTAATCTGAAACTCTGTAGATGCATAGATGAGCAAAACAATCGTGTGACTTCAGCATCGACAGCTCTGGAGTGCAAAGCCATCTGTTCTTCGTGCTTCAATATTGGTGTGAAATGAACTTGTGTATGTACGAACGTCTCCTTGAATCAGCTGCAATCTGTGCAGGAAGCCAAGCTGTTGGGTTTTCTTTGATGCCATGAAGCAAACGAAAAGAATGCAGCAAAATCAAAGTTGTGAGAGCAGAGATGGATCTCAGCCTCTGACCACCAGCATTTGTCTTTCAGCTTCCTGTTCTGTCTGGCTGGCTGAGGCTCAGACAGAATTTAAAAGAGTGGCCGAAGAAAACGTGACGTTGCCTTGTCACCATCGCCTGGGCCTCCTGGAGCAAGGCAGCCTGGACATTGAGTGGCTGCTGCACACGTCTGAATCGGTGCAGAAAGCGGTAGGTTCATCCACAACCTGCTGGGAAAACAGCCCAACAGCCCTACTGCTGTGTTGGCATCAACAGCAGCCATCGGTTTAAAGAGATGTCTGTGAAGTCCTTTGCAATTTATACTGAGGAAGTAAGCAGAATGCCTAGCTGATGTGTTTAAAGTGTGTGAAAGTTAATTGATATTCATTTATCCTAGAATGAGGGGATAGTGATCTGTGCTTTCTTTAAATCAATTAAATTTGTAGCAACTGTGTTTTCTTTAAATCAGTGGTACTATTTAATCAGTCGTCTCCAGATAAACCTCAGAAGTGCCCTTCAGGCTTTCAGAAATTCTATTTCACAGGCATGGGCTTTGAAATCTTGGGGGGAAAAAAAGATAGTCATGGAGTACTTATAAAATCAGATCTGCAGTAACTTGAATCAGCTGGAATGATTGCGTTGCTCTTCTGGTTGAACCCAGCCACAATCAGTGGCTACTTGTGGCATCATCTGATGCCTATTTTGATGCTGGTACAAATGCTCAAATATGAACCTTTAGTGCAAATACAGTTCATGTATCAGTCAGATTTGAAATCCAGGTCTAATTTTCCACCTTATTCTGGGCTTCCTGGGTGACCCCCAGGCACTTAGCTATGCAGGACCTTAGCCTGCAGCTTCTGGAAAGACTTTGTTTTGTTGTTCCATACAGAAGTAAAATTACAGCTGTCCATCTCTGCTCCTCAGGTGATCACCTACTCTGGAGGCCACGTTTACGATGACCTGAATGAAGAACAGAAGGGCCGTGTTTCATTCACCTCCAACTTCCGTGCTGGAGATGCATCCCTGCAGATCATCTCCCTGCAGTCCAGTGATGCAGGGAAGTACATATGCAAGGTGAAGAACGCTGGGCAGTACGAATGGGCTCACATCACCCTGAAGGTTGTAGGTAAGATCATTTTTATTGTTCTTTCAAAGACATATATATAGATATCTAGGCACATTTCCTGTAGAGAGATTTATTACATTAGGGTATAAACACACATAGACATCTCTTGATCAGGTTTCAATAAGTCTTTATCTGCCTTTGCATTTTTTGGCAAAGGACAGAATACAGGAAGAGTCCAGAGAACTATTTTGTGATAAGCTTACCCACTTGCAACATCTCCTTTCTAAATTGTCCTATGATCTCATCATGTAAACTAAAGTGATATCCTAGCAACCATCACTCTGTCCAGAACTCTCGCTGAGGACTCTGAGTTTGTGTCCCTGGAGCCCAAACTGATCCAAGTCAGTGAAGGTGATGGATAAGCCACTGGGGTTAGTATTTCTCTTCCCTGATTCCAGTTTATGGCTTGGCATTTAGCACCTACACTATCACCCCATGGAAGTCCTGCTGTGACCTGCCAGATCCTGTGGGGAGAAGGAAGAAATGGAGAAGCAGGGGGAGGGAAAGGATTTCAGGGAAAGGATATTCTCTAAATCGTGCCTAGAAAAATGCTTTGATACAGCTCCATTGGCACAAGTAGCCGTGAAGCAGACTGACTCAAAACAGAATGTGTTCTTTCTACTTCTTACACTACAAAGCTGCACAAGGTTGCAGTTCAAGTCCACTAACAAACATCACTAGTGTAAATAATAATTTTAAAAAAGGGTTTTCCACCAAGAAAATGATCTGTTGCGTGTGCACGACCTGTGCTCTGTTTTCTACAGAGAAACCCTCCAAGCCCAAGTGCTGGCTGGAAGGAGAGCTGTCAGAAGGGAAAGACCTGTCCCTGCAGTGCCGTTCTTCCTCAGGCACTGCGCCCATCTCCTACCGGTGGCAGCGCATAAATGAGGAAGATGAGAAAGCTGAACATCTCCCACCTACGTCGAGAGTCAGTAAGTCACTTCCTCTTAGAGCTCTCCAAGTGTTGAAAGCCAGATAACCACCCACAGGCACAGTGTGTCCATCTTGTAACCAGGGAGAGCGTGCTGGCAGTGAGAGCAGTGCTTTACCAGAACTTGGCTACAGCAGGATGCTGTATTGTGCTCCACCCTGAGCAAGGAAGTGCACAAGTTCTCATGCTTTGCAAAAGGTTGACAGATGATCTTTCCTGAGTTATCGCTGATCTCGAACTGATTTTGATCTGCAAGTTCAGCGCTTGTTTTTTTTTGTTCCATCCTCCGTTCTTAGTCTTTTTTTGATTAATCTGAGTGGTGTTTTTCCTGTTTCAGACATTTCTAATCCAGGTCAAGTCTTACTGAAGAACCTCACTCAGATGAGTACAGGATTGTACCAATGCATGGCCACCAACGAGGCTGGACAGGAGAGCTGTGTTGTTCAGGTGACAGTGCAGCGTGAGTATTGCACCTAATTGGTATTCTCACCTCTGTATGAGCAGTGTAGGTCCTCAGCTGACCCACTTCACTTGATGAACCCTTATCCACACCCTTGCCCTTTTGTACTCCAGTCACATGGAACACTTCTCACTTGCTCAGCAATATTCCATATAGCCTGGAGTGGTAAATACAGTTCTTGGGCTTAAACGTTTTGGTCTGTTAGAAATGCTGATTTTGAGAATGGCCAACAGAGTAACAGGGAAAAAACAAACAAACAGGTGAGATGGTTTGCCAAGCATCCAGCTGCTAGTTAGCTCAGGCTGGAAGGATTCTATGATTCTATGATTGCATGAGAATGTTGCTCAGTATAAAATCTCTGTGGACAGTCCGTCACTGAAGTTCCAAATTCCTTGTTGCATTTGAGACAGCAAGCTATTTCCAGGCAGCCCAGAAAGGCTGACCAACAGGAGGTAATGTGCAAAGTGGAAAAGCAACTTTGGGTACAGTTTGGTTTTAATCCAGATTCAATATATTTGGCCCAAACAGTAGAGAATGAAATCAGTATGTATGTGATTAATCACATCAAAGGTGTGTAGGCATCTAGGTGTTATGCCTTTGCATTTGTGTGCAAGGAAACGGGTGGAGTTCAGTACAGGCACTGACAGCAAATCTAAACAAACAATGCAGTTTGGAAGGCTTTTGTGTGTAAATCTCAGGGGAGATAAGAAGGAGCCTGAATTGTTGAAATAAACGACTGCTGACAAAGATCTCTTCTATGGAGATTCCATGGCTTTGGAATGTGTATGCCAAGCCAGGCCTGAAGTAGCTGCGTTATGGTCTTGTAGCAAGGAAAACCTGCTCCCCTCAGGCATCTGAAGTGTCCTGGCAGCTTTTATGTCAATTGAACTGAATTGGTTTAAAACCTCATTTTGATTTGGTAAAGCCTCCGCAGGGACAAGCCCCAAGGAAACAACTCACAGCCAAACCCAACCTCACCACTCTTATCAAAAAGTTTCACGCAAGTTCAGCCAAGTGCTCAGACACACTGGGAAGTGTTGTTTCATTAACTTCCCTATTTTGAATGACAAATGCCTTGTATTGGCACAGCACAATTTTCCCTTCTCCCGTTCTCTTTGTCCTCCTCCAGCCACTTTTTTCCCAAAAATTGAATAATTCATTCTGTAAGCAAACAGCGAACATTTCAGGATTCATACCTCATGGGGAAATATCTGTAGTTCATTCTTTTGCCTTTAGAAAATTGTTTGGTACTTTTCTTGAGCGTGGGTTGTGCTGTCTGCCTCTATTATGCTTTTTGCGGTTCTGGGCTCTTACATAAGGATTCTTCCTCCCCATCTCAGATCTGACTCACAGCCGAAAGCATAGCTCCTGTGATCCCACCCTTCTATAAGTGAATTCCTTTCTCAGTATTGTCTCATGTTTAGAAACAATATTTCAGATAAATCTGCTCAACTGCGTTCAGACACTTAAGTAGTCTAAATTATGATTTATAAATGACGTAATTTCTAGTGTGAAATAGAATGTGTCTATTTGGCCACTACTGAGAGCTTACCTGTTAATCTGTTTATTTTTTGGACAACAGATGCCCAAAATATTGGCATGATTGCTGGAGCGGTTTGCGGCGTCGTGGTGGGACTCTGCCTTCTGTTCCTGGTGGTGAGGCTGACAATAAGAAGGAAAGAAAAGAAGAGGTATGAGGAAGAGGAGGCCCCAAATGAAATCAGGTAACACTTCTCCCTTAATCCCCTCCTGTCTTTCAGTCTCCTGTACACCCAGCATGCTCCAAATTAACGTCTCTTTTCGCTCCAGGTTTAAGTAACCCAAGCATTGGTTTCTTAAAAGATCATTCTATAAAGCTTTTATAGTCTACCTGAAACGTCACTGACAAGTTTCACAACTGTTAAGATCTCTGTTGGGAATGCTCTGAGGTTCTCATGGTCTTTCCTGAGTCTTCTGAGCAACTGTGCTGCTGGACTTAGCTCAGGGTGAGAAACCCTTTAAACCTCTGTTTGCAGAGCTGCGAAGCCTCACCCCTGATCAGGTGTCCCAAGAATGCTGACACACGTTCTTTGAACTCATCTGTGTGTGAGCTCTGCCACTCACTCCTCTTGGTCTTCAGCCAATTGAGCTCAGGGAGCAAAGTTATGGGAAAAAGATATATATATATTTCCAGGAATGAGATTTAGCTGCTCCTGTCCCTAAAGAACCCCCTCACCTCATTCCACCTTACTTCTGCCTGCCCTCATATGACACCTACATATGGTTGAGCAGGCATCTTTATAATCCATTCAGCAGCTGATTACTCTGCTGGTGATCAGGTTGCTGGTATGGCCAGTAAGAACGCAGTCTCTGCTCATTGCTTCCCTTGCATTTCTTGTTCTCTATGCTTTCAAACCTTGCACGCCTTTTCATTCTTATCTGAGCCTCTTCCGTCATCTCTTCACACCTCTCTTTCTGGGCCCAGTTACTGTGCTATTTTTACTACTCACATTTTTTAAACCAGCAGAACAGGTCTCTGCTAGTCTCTATAGGTAATCTGTCATTATGAATAAAGATAATAGAGCAGACAATTCTGTCTGAACTGTTTGCACTGATCCAGGGCATTTGTTCCACAGACTTCAAATCCACACTCAAAGAGCCAGTTGTACACACATGTATTCTAAATCCATTTGGCAGAGCTACAGCAAATTCAATCTACGAAATTACTTTGCACAGAATTTGGGAAACCCACTGCCTTGCTCAAACTTCTGGACAAATGTAGCTTGGCGACTTCAGCAAGCAACCATTGCAGCAGCAATTCAGGGTAGTAAAATGTGTAATTGTTTTTGTTCTTGTGGTATGTTTGCAGAGAAGATGCAGAGGCACCCAAAGCCCATCTTGTCAAGCCCAGCTCCTCATCCTCTGGTTCCAGGAGCTCACGCTCGGGTTCCTCCTCAACCAGGTCGACAGCCAACAGTGCCTCTCGCAGCCAGCGGACTTTGTCAACTGAAGCTACTCCCCATCTGACTCCTCCACAGTACAGCCAGAGGGAGGTGGGAGGAAAGGAAACAGAGCCAAAGAAAGTCGACTATGCCAACCTGATGAAAATGGGAGCCACGCTGGTCATGGTGCCTGCCCAGAGCCGAGCGTTCCAGACCGTGTGACTGCTCTGACTTCTGCCATCCAGAAACACGCCACGTACCACCAGCCACATAGGAGTTGTTAGATTAGCTAGTTACCTCCCTGGTCAGCTTAATTTTAGTCACCTGTGACAATCTGCACCACAAGAAGCCCTCCCACTCAACTCTTTCCCAGCACTTGAGGTTCTGAGATGGATTTATTTTATTTTTTTTTTTTAAAGAAAGATAAAATTGAGGGGAAAAGGGAGCCTTCTTTTTAAAGTACCTTTTTAGAAAATGGAACACTGAGCATTTTAAAACTACAGCTAAAAACAATGTCAGCTAAGCGCTGTACAAGAGAAATGAAGCCAAACCTCAGGATTTTTTAAAAGGGATCAACAGAAAGGCATCTAATATTCCAGTGAGGTTTAGGGGGAAGGGGAAAGTCTCCTGTACTGTTTCTGGAGAAGTTTCTAGAAGAATGCATAGTCTTACCTGAAGACCTTGAGGCCATTTGTTTGCTGAGGGTACTCTTGTGGTCAACCTTGAAGGGAACTGACGCACGCTTGCCTTTTCTGCATTCAGTCTTCTAGGGAAATACTTCTGGAAGCTGCAACTAAAGCAGAAAGGAAAGGTCAAGAGATACAGCACAAAGGTATGTGTCTGAACTAACTTCTGTACTAAAGGGAAAGGAGCCCACATGTCAAGGAAGCAGAGATACTTCAATTGCTGGGATGAGATTAATGATACATCCAGAGAAATACGGCCAGGAGCCTGACTGCTTGTATGGACAGCACTGAAAAGCTGCAGTAACTTCACCAGAGTTGTATCTGTGTCACATGAGCCTTAGTGAGATGAGAATTGAATGCTGAAGCCAAAATGAAGGCATGTCTCAAAAACTGAGGGCTGCTAACCAACCAAAAAGCCTGGAGGAACATTTGAAGATGTCTTTGCTACAGCCAGGTTGTGAATTCACCAGTTTAGGCTGAGCCATACGGACCTCAGAGAGCTTTTCCCTCAAGTGTATGAACAGCATTCCTGGACTGACCTTCACACATCCAGGTAAGATGGAGTGAAAGTACACGTCGTGAAGAAAATACACCAGGGACAGGTAAACTTTAAGTGCAATGCTAAGGGAAGGAAGGCGTACTGCCATACACCAACCTGTAGGCCATGCGCTATCCTCAAGGCTTAAACCTTAGCAGGACTCTTAAAAAAGCAGGAGTCATGAAAATACTTTCTGTGATTGTTTGCCAAAGTAGACGTTTTCAAGAGATACAGTCTTATTCCATCTGAAGGCCAATAAGAAATGATGGGAAATAGGGACAGGCTTCCTGTGGGTGCAGATAGCCCCAGAACTGTTTATACTTTCCTCTGAAGGACTTGACTCCGACCACTGCTACACAGAAGACACTGAGCTTGTAGGTTCTAAACTCTTTTCTGAGACTCATCATTCCATTTATTTGAGATCTTAGAAGGTCTGATTGAAATGAGGCCATGTTTGGGCCACTTCCCTATGAGAAATAGTTTTCAAATTTGCCCCGTGCTGAGAACTTCTCTTCCTAAAGCAATCACCATCACACGTGCTGTTTGCTCTCTCTCCTGCAGTCAGCACAACCCCCCCTCCGAAGTCCAAAATACTGTTTGTTGTGGGGAGGGGCCTTGAGCCACCAATTGATAGAAGGGAATCAGCTGTTTGATAAGCTTTTACTTTCACCAGTTCTGCATACTGGGTCATTTTGCCGAGGCACCATTTCAGAGCCACGCTCCTGGGTCAGCTGTGCTCTGATGGATTTGGTTGGAGGTCGCAGCTGCTCAGTGGCTGTGGCTCCTTTTTTTGTAGGCCCTGAAGGCACAGGCACTGCTCCTAAGTGCTTCCAAGGCATTCCAGGACTTGTGAAGTTTGTGGCTTTTAAGTTTGCTGACTGCGATGTCACCTCAGCAGATTGTCTTTGACACCTATTCTATGCAGAGTAAACCAGGAGTGAATTTCTCAGCAAAGCAAACACCCCAAGCAACCGGTACCTCATTAACACAAAATGAGGATAACAGTCCAAACAGTGGAGCTGGTTACAGCATAAGTACCTAATACTGGAGGTTAGTTTGAGTCACAGGCCAGGCCTGCAATTAGCAAAGGGTGCTGTGCTCCATTGCAGCCTGGGGGCTGCTTGGTGCCAGCAAGCAGAATTGCCCCCAGCCTGTGCCCAACAGCCTCTTCCCTGGAGAAAGTTCATTTGAAAGGTATCCCATTTCCAAAGGGACATTTTTTGGGCTCCAAAATCAGGAGTTGCACAAGAGAAACAAATGAATCATAAGCCAAACTTGATTGTGTAGAATAGTGTGTTTAAAGCATTTACTGTCATATACCAGTTATTACTAGTGTGATTAAATGCATACAATGTTATGTAGCTTTCTTATGTCTAAGCAGCTAAACTGAGCTTACATCTCTTCTACCTGCTATAATTGGTGTACTTGTACTGTGTCTGAACAACTCAGAGGAAAGCAAATATTTATTATTGATTCCTTCGAATCAATGATTTCATATTTTTTTTGGTTGTTTTGTAAATAAATGCGCTGCAGCTGAAGTGCTACAGCTCAACTAAACCCGTATCCACGCTCTATCTTCTGTGCTTAGATACACTGCATGCTGTCAAGTTGAATCAAAGGAAAAAAAAGATAAGAGGTAAAAATAGTATTTTTAAGCTAATGAGGACTATGTGTATATTTGTGTAAAAACTGGAGGAAAGCTGCAGGTTTTTTCCTGGCCTACGTTTTGCAACATGGCATGAATTGTGTGAAATCTTGGGTGTGTTGGGGTGAACTGAATTTGGACTTCCACTCCAGTACTTTACCTGAGATGTTATGGCTGAAGACATCGGTGCTGCAGGCTAATGTGGTAAATACTGCCAGTGCAGACACAGCACTGATAAACATCTCCCAGCTCTCCTACTCCCACATACACCAGCTTGCTGCTGAACCACCCTGTGCCTTTCAGCTCCATCTTCTGAGCTGCGCATGAGATGGCGACGAAACCTTGAACAACCAAGAGAAGCAGCATTTAGACAGCTGAGATCTTGACTGCAGATAAATACTTTGAACCAGCTAACAGGAATCTCCAGTCGCAGGGATGTGGGTGGAACTCAGGCTAACTCATAATGGCTCTGGTTCATTTCTCTTGCAGTGGTTTCAGCCTTCTTTCCCCTGGGGGCATTTTGCAAAGAGATCAGACAGCATCAGCAATCTTCTCTATAGCAATCCGGGAGTAGAAGTTGCAACATAATTAGGCAGTATTTAAACCCTCATGACAGCAGTGGTCTCATAGGTGTGTCCTTCTGTCTGTCCCTGATCAATGGGGAACAGCCATTCTGCTGCTTGCTCTTGAGTTGATGACGTCCCAAATCCTGCTGACAGTTTGGAGTTGTGTGACTGCCTCCTTTTGTTCAGTATCAGGAATCTGGGATTATTTTTATTTTATTTTTAACCAAGATCACTTTGTACCGCTGCACAGGGGGGAAAAGGAAGGGCTGCATTAGAAATGCGTCGTTTTCAAACTTCAGGGTGTGCAAATGTGAAGTAAAAACTGCCATTATCACCAATAGGAAGCGAGTTTCTGACAGTCCCCACTGCCCACTTCTCTCGAGCTGCAACAAACCAAACTGGCTTCAGAAAGCAACTTTGGGGTTCATCACTTGGGGAGGGAAAACATCATCATAGAATCATAGAATGGCCTGGGTTGAAAAGGGCCACAATGCTCATCCAGTTCCAACCCTCTGCTGTGTGCAGGGTCACCAACCACCAGACCAGGCTGCCCACAGCCACATCCAGCCTGGCCTTAAATGCCTCCAGGGATGGGGCATCCACAGCCTCCTTGGGCAACCCGTTCCAACGCATCCAGACTGCAGGGCCTTGCTTTCTGCACTGTACTGTGGGCTATTTCAGGCTGCTAACAACCTTTAATTTCTAACGCAGTGACTCATTGGCCGGAGCTCTCCTCCCTGCACTGACTCACCGCTGCTCCGGGCTGCCTTCCCCTGCCGTGCACCCATTGTGCAAAGCACGGTTGCGTATAGGAATGCCGTTGTTTAATTCCCAAGTGCCAGCAGGGCTATTCTTAGGTCCTACTGACGTTCTGCTCGTGCTTTAGAAAAAAGGAAAACCACAGAGCTGCCCATGCAGCCCCTGCGAGCCGGCAGAGGAGCTCAGCAGCGATCTGCTCTGGGCGGAGCGGCTGTTGCATCGCAGCCCCGCTCAACATGGGGAGGGCGATTCGTGCCCCTTATCTTTACAAGCACAGCCTTTGTGCTCCTAAATCCATCCCCAGCTACAAGCTGGGGGCCAGCTTGGCACGGCCGAGTGCTGCGCTCCTTCCCTCCCTTTCCCTGCAGGATCTCAGGTGTGCTCCGTGAATTTGCAGCCCGCGGGCTCATTACGTTCACCCAGAATAAAGCCGGGCACGGCACTGCACAGGCTTGAGGCTGTTTTCCCCCAAACTCCGCCTTCTGTGCTCGGGACCGCGACCCCCCCCCCAGCCTGCCGCCGCCATTTTGCCTTCCCCTCCACACGCAGCAAGCCGCGCGCCCTGCAAAACGAGCTGCCGGCTCTGCGATCCCATTGGACGCCCGCACTGCAAGGCTCCTGCCTTCGCGCGCAAAATATGCAAACGATCCAGTGGTATTTTGCAGCCATTGGCTACCACTTGCTCCCCCGCGCGCTCGCTCTGCCCCCTCCCGCTCCATCAGCCCACGCTAGGCGTTGTCATCATCCGCATGCTGCCATTAAGAGGCTCTCATTGGCTGCCGCCCGCAGGAAGCTCCGCCCTCTTCCGTTGCGGGTGGGGGCCGAGCCGAGCGGTTGAGGGGGGGGACGAAGGGGAAAGCGCATGAAGGTTCGAGAATACCGGCCGGCCGGCGGCCACGCCCCCTTTCCGCTACGCCACTGACGGTGCGTGTTCCGGTAACCTGCCATTGGCTGGAAGGGCTGAGGAAGGAGCGAACGGATTGGCTGGAGACGAGAGAAGGGGCGGGCGCTTCTGGAAGGTTCTGAAGGGATATATAAAGGCGCCGGGGCGGGAGCCGACCGCTCTCATTCAGCAGCACTCTACCAGCAGCAGTCTTTGTGCGCGTCTGCCGCTGTCCGCGCCGCTCAGGTAGTGGGGCCTACTGGGAGGGGGGGGGACATCTTAGGGAGCCCATGGACAGAGATGGTGGGGAAGGAGGAGAGAGGGGTTTGGGGAGT